AGAAGAGGGAAATTTGGACACAGACAAACATAGGAGAGAAGGTCACGTGACAGTGGAAGCAGAGATTAAAGTGATGCATCCGCAAGCCGAGGAAAGCCAGCAACCACCAGAAGCTAGGAACAGGCAAGAAAGAGCCCTTCCCTAGTGTCTTTGGAGAGAGCATGGCCTGCTGACTGTGCAGAGAACAGTCTGCTTGATTTTGAGCTTCTAGACTCCAGAACTGTGAGAGAATAAATTTCTGTTGTTTTAAGCCACCAAGTTAGCAGTACTTTTTATGGCAGCCCTAGGAAACTAATATGTAATCTTTGAGATGTACAGAACAGATATAAAGCACAGAGCCCACCCAGGAGGAGACCTCTGAGCCTGTTTCCCGACCTGTGCAGCGGGGCCCCGGCCACCTGCCCAGAAGGGCTGTCGTGAGGATTAAATGCCCCCGCCACTGGCCCAGCATCCTGCAGGCCCAGTCCCAGGTCCGGGCCTCGCTGCCCTCACCTGTGAAGCGGGTACCGGCCTCCTTCACACGCCGGGAGGAGGAGAAAGTGAGGACACAAGGCACACGGTCCGTAAACAAAACACCGCCAGGATTGGAGGGACGAAGTAGAGATAGGCTCTGTCTTTCGAGGACTGTGAAGAAAATTGACAGCTTCGGATCTGGGGGCAAAGTGAAATTGTGTGTGTGTGTGTGAGAGAGACAGAGATGGAGACAGAGACAGAGACAGAGAGAGAGAGACAGAGGCAGAGACACAGAGACAGAGATGAGAAAGAGATGCTGAACATTTAGAACAAGAAGCTGGTCCTTACATGGGTTGCAGCTCAAATTCATACAGTCAGGGTGGTCCAAGAAACCTCAGTGGGCATTAAATATAGAATGATCTCAGGTTTGTAATTCTGTAGGTGCCTGGTAGAAGCAAACGGAGATTCTCTCTGCAGGTACTCACTTTCTTCTTGGGCCTCAGAGTTTTCCATAAATACAATGCCAAGTCTAACAAGCACCTCTAAGTTAAAAAAGGTAATTAAACAGAAACATAATGAGAAATCATGGCAGCAAGCCAGCAGTAACCACAGATAGCACGTTTCAAATAATGAAATTATCAAACAGATTATAAAATGCCTATGTTCAATATAGTAATAAAAGGCAAGTTTGAAAATATGTGCAGAAACTAAAAAAACTATAATGAATAATCAAGCAGCTTGAGAAAAATTTCCAAATGGAAGTTCTAAAATAAAAGTTTTAATTTAGTAAAAAATGTTAATTGAATTTTAATTTTAACTAAATTTAAAACTCAGTATACAGCTTTAAGAGCAGATTATAAACAGTTAAAGACAGAGTTAGTGAACTAAAAGATAAATGTGAAGAAATTAACCTGAATATTGCATGGAAGGACATAGAGATGGAAAACATGGAAGAAAGGTTAGGAAATATGGAGGCTTGAATGAGAAGGTCCGTCCATCGTGAGTCTGTTGGAATCCCAGAAGGAGGAGAGATGGAACGCAGCAGAGGCAATATTTGAAGAGATAACAGCTGTGCAATTTCTAAACTGATGAAAGAGAAGTCATATGGTGAAGACGCTCTGTGAACCTCAGTCAGAAAAAATAAACCCCCGCCCCCCGCCCGATGCACCGCATCGGAACATCAGAGCACCGAAGGCAGGGAAGGAAGTCCTAAATGCGGCTGCAGAGGAAGGGAACTTACTTTCAAGGAAGTGGCACACAGAGAGGTGATTCCTCATAGCAACAAGGGAACTCAGAGGAAGACACCGGGTGATGATGGAAATGAACTACCTGACCTAGAATTCTATATCCAGTAAAAACATCTTTCAGGAGATAGGGCAAAGTAAAGACATGTTTAGACAAACTGAGAGTTTACCTCCCACAGCTCTCAATCAGGAAAATTCTGAAGAATGTACTCAGGCAAAAGGAGTCTTTTAAGACATTTATTTATTATTTTGAGGGAAGTTTTAACATTTTCATTTTATATACAAAGAGCTTGCATTGTTTCTGCATAGGGTAGATGTCCTCGATGACACATTCAAGGAAGTTCACTTAGTCCAGCTCCATTTATGAAGCTGATATCCTTCGCATACTAGCAGAAACACTGGTGGCACATATTGAGGCCGTATTTCCAGATCAGACCAGGCCGGTTTGAGCAGACGTGGCAAGAGTGAGAGCCTTGTCGAATTTTCTCCGATGGCTCCAGTAGAGCTGCTGGTGACCCATCTTGCTTTCTTGGCTGCAACGAAGCAAAAAGCTAGACATTTAGATTTCAGAGATTGTTATTATTTCCTCGTAACAATCCCTTTAAAAAAAAGTTTCAAGTCCGATTCATTGTCATAATAGTTTTCCTCATTGGTAGAAATCTGTTTTCCAAAAGGTATAACTATTTGTAAGCATTCTTTCTTAAACCAAAAGAAGGACATTTTAACTGTCCTTTCCTTTAAGGCATAACAGTACTGAAAACCCCATGGCTTTGGATCACTTATGTGAACAGAGATGAGAATATACCATTTATTTTTAACACTAGATTATGCTTGTTTGCTGTTGGAAATGATCCAGAAGAGAAGAACTTGATGATTCCAGAAAGGAGTTTAATTTAAAGCAAGGAACTTGAGTTGGCAATGAGAAAAGTGGGAGGATCGGGCTTCCCTGGTGGCGCAGTGGTTAAGAATCCGCCTGCCAACGCAGGGGACACGTGTTTGAGCCCTGGTCTGGGAAGATTCCGTGAGCCGCGGAGCCACAGCTACTGAGTCCACGCTCCTATAGCCTGTGCTCCGCAACAAGAGAAGCCACCACAATGAGAAGGCTGTGCACCGCAACTGAAGAGTAGCCTTCACTAGCCGCAAGGAGAGAAAAGCCCGCACGCAGCAACGAAGACCAAATGCAGCCAAAAATAAATAAATAAAATAAAATAAACAAATTTATTTTTTAAAAAGTGAATGTTAAAAAGAGAAGTGGGAGGATCAATGGATTGGAGATCTGTGTTGCGTTTATAACATGGACCCCCAGTTCTTTGACACTCGTCCCATTAAGAGGTGGGTCTATGACTGCTCTCTTGAATCTGGATGGGATCGTGACTGCTTTGACCAATAGGAAGCCATATGACTTCCAAGGCCAAATCAGAAAAGGCCATGCAGCTGACCCCTGACCCTCCTAGTACAGTCACTCTGGGAGAAGCTAGCCATTATGTAAGAAGTCCAACTATCCTGAGACTTCCATGCTGGAGAGGTCAGGTGTACGTGCTGGTTGACAGCCCCAGCTGAGCTCCCAGTCAACAGTCAGTACCAACTGTCAACTTTGCAAGTGGGCCATCTTCGACATCTAGCCCGGCTTACCTCCAGCTGTAACCAAAGTGCATGAGAAACCCCAGACAAGAGCTTCCCATTGGAGTCCTTCCCAAATTTATGACCCCCAAACTGTAAGCAGAGTAAAGTGGTTGTCTTAATTCTCTAAATTTGGTGGTAATTTGCTACACAGCAATAGTACCTGGAATAAGTTTCTTTATTTTTTTCTCCCCTGGCCCTGCTGTGCAGCTGGTGGGATCTTAGTTCCCCGATCAGGGATCGAACCTGGGCCCTTGGCAGTGAGAGCACAGAGCCCTAACCACCGGACCGCCAGGGAATTCCCTGGAATAAGTTTCTTAGGGAGTCAAAGAATTGTGAGTGTCACGGTAATACCATAAGAAAGTGAGAAAAATAGGAGGCAATCATCAGAGAATTGGGGGCTTAAAATCAAGACTCAGGAGGCGGTGAAGTTACTGGTTTTGACAGTATTCCCAACAAGGTGTGGCTCTTAAGCTTTTCTTTCTTTTAAAAACTATTTATTTATTTATTTATTTTGGCTGTGCCTGGCCTTAGCTGCAGCACACAGGATCTTCATTGCAGCATGTGAACTCTTTAGTTATGGCATGCGGGATCTAGTTCCCTGACCAGGGATCGAACCCCAGCCCCCTGCACTGGGTGCACAGAGTCTTACCCACTGGACCACCAGGGAAGTCCCTCTTAAGCTTTTCATTTTTAGCTATTGGCATTTTTATTTTGTTTGTGATCTCGGTGCTATGTGAGTAGAGTAAAAGATAGAAGGTTTGCATTTATTTATTTTCTAATCTATGAGAAAATTGTCAGAAAGTATCCTCTGACGTGTTAGGATTCATCTGTCGTGAGGATTGCTGAGAGTGTGTTGCTCTTTCAGTTTCCCACGTAAGTCCAGTCGATTTTGTGTTTTGTACCAGGTGTACCATTAGTGGGTCATAGACCACCAGACCTGATCAGGAGTCAAGGGTGTTGGATGGGTCACTTATGTGGATGCCCAAGTTAATCGGTTTGATGACAAGACTCGAGATAGAAAGGAAATCTGGGAAGTTTGGGTCACAACTCTTTGTGAGTCCAGCCCGGATCGGCACTCCTTGGGCAGCTGCCTCTGCCCAGCACTGATCAGCACCCGTCGGGGAAACAGCTCCTCCAGTCCCAGTCAGCACGTTTTAGGGAGAAATCTCCGTGGGCCCAATCAGCACCCTTTGTGGGACAGCTCCGACCAGCCCTGGTCAGCACCCAGACGTGGACAGCTCCTCCAGCTGCCCAGTCTCAGTCTGAATCACTCAGAGCCAGGCTTGGGACCCCAGCTCTTCTGTTCTGACTCCTTGGGACGCCAGCGCAGCTCCTGGGGCTGCACCCACCACTCCACCAGGCCCCGTCCCACCCCACACCCGAAAGTCAGTTAACCAGAGGTGTGCGGACCGACTTCCCCACAGCAAGTCCCTCATTTAAACTCTCACCATACGAACTGATCCCCCATCCCCACTAATCCGCTTCTCACCTGCCCCCACCCCGAAAAAACCAACCGCAGCCCGATTCTCCCCCAACCCGAGCCTCTTAGTCAAACCATCTGTCTCCTCCAACCAGCTTCCCCGCAGTCCCCTTCGCCCTCCTCCCGGGCCCGCCCTCCTCCCTCCCCCCCGGGCTCGCGCTGCCGCGGTGTCCTGGCGTCGAGGTGTGCTGGCGGCGGGGTGTCGCAGGGCGTGTCACGAGGTGACTTGGGGCGGGCTGAGGGCGGGCGGGAGGGAGCGACGAAGGGCGTGCGGGCTGTCGCTCCGGGCACCCCTCCCCCGCCGCAGTCGGCGGACCTTTCCCCGGAGAAGATGGCGGATCGGGCGGAGATGTTTTCTCTTTCCACCTTTCACTCGCTGTCGCCGCCAGGCTGCAGGTACGCACTTGGGCGCCCCGGGCCTCGGCAGGCCCTTCCCTTCGTACAGCACCCCCTCTGACCCAGTCCCCAGGCTTCTCCGACCCGACCCTGCTACCACCCCCCCGTCGCTTTTGGGGGCCCAAGCCCCAGACCCCCCGCTCTGGTCCTGAGGCCCGTGGTTCCGGCTCCTCGCCCCCCCGCCCCTCGGTTTCGGGTCTCTCCATTTTTGTCCTCCCCTTATGCCCGTCCTCCAGCCCCAGTGACCGCCCCCAGCCCCAAAGTCCTGCTGGGATCCAGGGCTGCACCCAGCCTGAACAGCCGGCCCCTCTAAGGTGGAGGTCCTCCAAGGTGGAGGTCCTCAGGGGTCGAGGGCGGAGCCTCTGAGGGGTGGGCTGCCTGCGCAGGTCGCTGAGCACACACTCTGTGCTTGGCAGTGTCCTTCTGGCCTTGTTGGACCTCTGGTGGAAGCCCGGCCTGGTCTGTAGGGCTCTGGGAGGGAGAGAGCTGAAATCAAGCCTGGGGCCTGGGGCAAGGGACTAGGGTGGGGAGAGGGCTGGACCTCTGGGTGTAGGCCCGCCTTCCGCAGGAGTGGGGGACAAACTGGCCAGATTCTGCTCCCGGAACAGCCTTCACCCCTCCCCCTCCTCCTGCTGCTGCAGCTTCAGCTCCCCTCCCCCTTCTCCGCTCAGCCTGACTCCCCTGAGGCTGAGCCTGTGACCCAGAGGGGCCTGGAGCTGAGGGTAGAGGCGGGAGAGGCTGCTGGCTCTTTGCGGAAGGAGGGCCGGGAGGAGGGTTTGGGGGACAGGTGCCTCTTCTGAGCTGGTCGTGGCTCAAATTGAGAGGGAAATCCACTGGAGAGCAGAGTTTGAGGTCCAAGATAAATGCAGGATGCAGGTCTGGGAGTTGGGGGCTCTGGAGATCACGGGGCCTAGAAGCTGGGGGGGCGTCTCCCGTGGCCCCTCCTTAGGACCAGTTCCCGGCCAGGGAGCCCAGGGTTGGTGGCTCTCTCAGGAGCCCTGTCCTTGCTCTCCTCTCCAGGCCTCCACAGGACATAAGTCTGGAAGAATTTGATGATGAAGATCTGTCTGAGATCACCGACGACTGTGGTCTGGGCCTCAGCTACGACTCAGACCACTGCGAGAAGGTGGGGAAGGGGCTGGGGGCAGAGAACTCTCTCAAGGGAGAGTCTCGCTTAGGTTATGCTTAGCAGTCTCCTGGGGTTTTAGGGTGGGTCTGAGCTCAGCCTTGAAACAAGAAATCCTCTGATTGCCCCCTCTCCCTTGGCCTCTCGACCCAGGGTCTTCCTTGATATCAGACCTCTCTTTTTCTAACAGAGGTCCACTGAGGACCTTCCCCATCAGTCCTCGCTTCCCCACCAGCGGGCTAGCTTGGGGGAGGGGAGATGTGTCTATGCTTTGGTGCCTCTGTGCTCAGCTCACTTCCCAGAAAGATCTAACCCCTTCCAGCCGCCATCTCACCTCATCTCCCCCTTTGCCCTTTCCCCACCTCTCAGGCCTCCATCTGTCTGCCTCATGTCTCCAGCCCTGAAGTCTCCCCTGCCCATCTCCTCCTCCCCATTTCTTTATGTTCTTGTTTTCATTCAAGAACATTTCTGAGCAACTCCCATGTGGCAAGTGCTGGGGGCTTCCAGGGGCCTGGGAAGAGAGCAGGACAGGTGTGGCTCTTGCCCTCAGGAGCTTATAACCTAGTAGGGGAGAAAGACTTGTGAGAGGCAGTGGCTGCCTGAGTGTCAACGGCTGGATTCCAGTGAGGGGACAGAAGGTGCAACGATGGGAACCCACCCAAGACTGAGGCCATCAGGGAGGTTTTCCAGTGCAAGTGGCACACAACCGTGCCCTTAGGGAGGACTAGAAGGAACTGGCAGATGAGGGGGGTTGGAGGGAATGGAGGAGAGGCATTGCTGGCAAGGGATTAGTGGGTCAGAGGCCCTGAGGTTGGTGAAGCCTGGTGCTGGCTGTCTTTGCTTCGTGCATTCATTTGATATTTACTGAGCTCTGACTGTGGGCCCGGTCCTGTTCTCGGTTGGGGGTGGGCTGTACCAGTGTCCAGTATGGACACGGTCCTGTCCTGGTGGGGCTTGCAGCTTGGTGGGGGAGACAGACCCGAAACTCTACAGTAACTATGAGTTGTGTTAAAATGCTGTGAAGGAAAAGTGCTGGTGTCAAATGTGACGGGGTTTGAGGGTGAGATGAGGCTGGCAGGTGGGTTGGGGCCACTTTGAGTATCTCTGTCACCCAGACTTAGGAGTTTGGGCTCTTACTTACCAAGAACTGTAGCGATCCTATGTATCTTAAACAGATTTTTTAAAAAGCTGCTCTGTTGGTGGGGAGCAGAGTGAACTGGAGGGAGGCTTCTGTCCCCTGACTTAGAGCTTCCTGCTTTCCCCTTTCCTGGCGCCTGGGACCCAAGTCACCGTCCCGCGCGGCCCAGCTCTGCCCCGCCTCTTCCCTGCAGGACAGCCTTTCCCTGGGGCGCTCGGAGCAGCCGCACCCCATCTGCTCCTTCCAGGATGACTTCCAGGAGTTTGAGATGATCGATGACAACGAAGAGGACGAGGACGACGAGGAGGAAGCAGAGGGGGAGGGCGAGGAGGGGGGAGGCCCTGGCTCAGCAGCCCGCGCCCGGCAGCCCCTGATCCCCTCGCCCTCCCTGGAGGAGCCGCACAAGCACCGGCCCACCACGCTCCACCTGACGACACTGGGAGCCCAGGTGAGCCGGCACCCAGACCCGCAGCTATCCGTGGTTCCCAGCATCCGGGACTGGTCCCCGTGGCAGCCTGTCCCCCCACCTACCCCTGAGAGCTGGGGCCCCTCCTCAGCGCTGCTCCCCTCCCCCCACGCCCCCCTCCTCTCCAGGACTCCCGGAACAACAATGGAGGGTTTGCTCCAGGGCCTCCAGCCTCCAGGCAGGAAACAGTGCTGTGCCCACCCGCCCAGGAGCCCCTCAGAGGTGAGCTGGGCGGCGGCGGGCGGGGTTACGCCGGAGGCGACGGAGGGAGGGGTGGGGGAGGTGGGCTGGCTGACCCAACCCCGTGCTCCGCAGAGCCGCCCGCCCCCCTCCCGCCCACGGACAGAAGCCCCTGCGGGGCGCAGTCACCTGTGCATCCAGGTTGCGACTCCGAAGGCAACCAGCCCGCGAGGCCCCTGGCGCCAGGTGGGGCCTCGCCCTCCTCGGATCCGGGCATCGAGGCCGACCTGGGGAGCGGGTCCAGCGGAGGCCGCGGGGGTCGGCGCAGCAGCCAGGAGCTGTCGTCGCCGGGCTCCGACTCCGAGGACGCGGGCGGCGCGCGCCTGGGGCGCATGATTTCCTCCATCTCAGAGACAGAGCTGGAGCGGAGCAGCGACGACGGCGGCAGCAGCAGCGGCCGCTCCTCGCACCTCACCAACTCCATCGAGGAGGCCTCGTCGCCGGCCTCGGAGCCCGAGCCCGAGCCGCCGTGCGAGCACCCGCGCCGCCCCGCCTTCCTGCCCGTGGGCCCCGACGACACCAACAGCGAGTACGAGTCAGGGTCCGAGTCTGAGCCGGACCTCAGCGAGGACGCCGACTCGCCCTGGCTGCTCAGCAACCTCGTGAGCCGCATGATCTCCGAGGGCTCCTCGCCCATCCGCTGCCCTGGCCAGTGCCTGTCTCCCGCGCCGCGTCCTGCCGGGGAGTGTGTGTCGCCCGCCGGCGAGGCCCCCGAGGCGGCGGCGGGGCCGGGCGTGGAGCTGGTGGACATGGAGACGCTGTGTGGGCCGCCGCCCCCCGAGCCCTCCGCCCCTCGGCCCGGCCCCGCGCAGCCCGGGCCCTGCCTCTTCCTCAGCAACCCCACGCGCGACACCATCACGCCCCTGTGGGCCGCTCCGGGTCGCCCTGCCCGCCCGGGCCGCGCCTGCTCTGCCGCCTGCTCGGAGGAGGACGACGAGGATGAAGAGGGGGAAGACGAAGCCGAGCCCGAGGCAGCGCCCCCCGGGGGCCGGGGCAAGGGCGCCGCGGCGCCGGACGCCTCGCTGGTGTACGATGCGGTCAAGTACACGCTGGTGGTGGACGAGCACACGCAGCTGGAGCTGGTGAGCCTGCGGCGCTGCGCGCGCCTGGGCGAAGACAGCGGGGACAGCGGTGGCGAGGCCAGCGAGGAAGAGGCGGGAGCCACACCGCTGGGCCGTGATCGGGGCCCCGGGGCTGCCTCCCCGGACAGCCCTGACCTCACCTTCTCCAAGAAGTTCCTCAATGTCTTTGTCAACAGCACCTCCCGATCTTCCAGTGAGTGGGAGGTGGGGAAAGGGGGCGGTCCTGGGAGGGCAGGCTGGCTCCTTGGCCCCAGGGCTTCCCCCAGGCCCTCGTAGGGTGGGGTGGGGTGGGGAGGTGCGTGGGGGAGGCTGCTCTGTCTCCAGCCCCCGGTGAGCTACTTGTCCCTCCCTCGGTGACTGAGGACAACCCACGCCAGACTGTTGGGGGGAGGGGAGCGCGGCGGGGCCCTCAGGTACTTCTCTTCCTGCCCCTCCCCTGAGCCTTTGTCTCTTTTGTTTCTGTCTCTCAGGCACCGAGTCTTTCGGCCTTTTTTCCTGCCTGGTCAATGGCGAGGAGAGAGAGCAAACCCATCGGGCTGTCTTCAGGTACAGCCTCTCCCCCTCGCTGCTAGCGACGTTCCACCTGAGCCTACAGGCACTATGGGACACTGGTGGACACAACCCAACCATTCCTGCCCCTGCCCCTGCCCCAGTGACCTCCTACCTCTGACCTGACCTCAGGTTCATTCCCCGCCATCCCGACGAGCTTGAGCTGGATGTGGACGACCCGGTCCTGGTGGAGGCCGAGGAGGACGACTTCTGGTTCCGTGGCTTCAACATGCGCACGGGGGAGCGTGGCGTCTTCCCCGCCTTCTATGCCCACGCGGTGCCCGGCCCGGCCAAGGACCTGCTGGGTGAGGCCCCTTCCCCAAGGGGCGTCTTGTCACCCCAGGCCCTCTCTTGCTCACCTGACCTAGGCCCCTGTGATCTCCCAGGGAGCAAGCGGGGTCCCTGCTGGGTGGAGCGCTTTGACGTGCAGTTCCTGGGCTCCGTGGAGGTGCCCTGTCACCAGGGCAATGGCATCCTGTGTGCGGCCATGCAGAAGGTCAGTCTGGAGGTGGGGGCCCCTGAGCCCTGCAGGCTGGCACAGCCCTTGGAGGCCCCAGGCCTCCGCCCTCTTCTACGGAGGGTTCCAGGATGCTTGGGGGCCTCAGGGCCCGGGCCCCCCCAGCCCCGATTCAGAGGCCTGGCAGACAGGCCTCGCGCAGCGCTCAGCAGCTGTTCCCCGTCACCTTCCCGCCGGTCCCGTGTCTGAAAAGCAAGACCAGCTCTCACAGACCCTTCCCTGGAAGTCATTTGCTCACTCGTTATTCACTCGGTGGACACTTGGTGAGGGCCGGCCTGTCTGCTGGGCCTGCAGGCGAGCGGGGGGCGGGGGGGGGGCAGCAGGGCAGCAGCATGGCTCTGTGCCTGAGAGCCTGCGTCCAGCGCACGAGACGGGCCGTGAGCAGGCCGGGGTTGCTGGGGCCTCAGTCCTGGGGAGGGGCGGAAGGCAAACGAGGCAGGCCGTCCTGAGGCTGAGGAGAGGCCAAGGCCACGCTCACATCTTCCCGACTCGCTGCCAGGGGTCTTCACACCTAATCGACAGCGTCCCGCCAGGAGGGAGAGATGCCCTCGCAGGCCCTGGAGACCCTTTTCTCCCCTAACCTCTTCTGCAGATCGCCACTGCCCGGAAACTGACTGTCCACCTGCGCCCTCCTGCCTCCTGTGACCTTGAGATTTCTCTTCGGGGCGTCAAGCTGAGTCTAAGTGGAGGACCTGAGGTGGGGGGGTGGGGGCCTGAGGCGCAGGGGCCGGTGGGAGG